TTCACTATTTGCTGAACAAGTACTATGAAATGCTGAATGTTGCTGTCATATTTGTGGACAAGTACTATGAAATGCTGAATGTTGCTGTCATATTTGTGGACGAGTACTATGAACTGCTATCATTGTTGCTGTCATATTCAGTTGTTGTCAGTTACTATGTTGAGCAATTGTTTTTGTCATTGTTAGGTATGCTGAATGTTGTCAGCTATCTGACTGTTGATGTTTAACTGATTGTTGTCAACATTCATTTCAACATTTCTGTCTTTTGTCAGCACCAAATAAACATCAACTAAATGAATTCTTGTAGTTCAACTGTTAGGTATGCATATGTGGTTAGCTGCTGGAAAAACAAATTGACTTGAATAACATCAAACTGGAATTTGAGCATCTAGTACAACATAAGTTCAATCAAATTCATTAAGCATCTAGTACAACATCAGTACAACATCAGTTAAATCATTCAGCATGTAGTACAACATCAGCTCAATCAAAATCATCCAGCATCCCCTTAAGCTTCCTTATCTTCTCCTTGGTGTCCTCTTTGTGTTTGAACAAGTCACCAATCATGTATTGAAGCTTTCTCTTTTCTTGCTTTAATTTATCCCTCTCTCCAATGACTTGGTCCCTCTCCTGGATCACTTGATCTCTCTCTTTTTCTGCCTTAGCCCTGAATACCTGATGAATGCTTGTTACTGTTTTGTCATTCATCTTCCTCTTCTCAAGCTCTTCCCTAAGATCAGCTATATCAATTTGTGTGCTGCCTAATTGGCTAATTGCATGCTCCTTCTCATCCACCAGATTAGCAAAATCAAGTTTGAAATTGCTAAGCTCTTTTTCCAACTTCTTCTTCTCTTCTGAAATCTTCAAGTTATCCTCAGCATTCAGAACATTTTGTCTGATATTCTGTTTTGTCTCCTCTTCATACATGCTCCATATCCTAGCTAGGCTCATCTTCATAGCATCAGGCCACTCAGGGTCAACCCACTCCACATAGTTGTAGCTAGATACTTCCTATGAATTTAAAACAAACATAATTTTAGTTAACTAATCAAGAAATTCAGTTAACTACTCAACAAATTTCAGTTAACTAAACATAGCACTTTAAATGGCATACAAATTGACTACTGAAAAATAACTAAAGTTTGAGCTTTTTAAACTTTTGACAGTGTGAATGAAGTTGTACTAACCTTCTGGGCACAGGTTAGGAACCTCCTGCCAGTATCAACTGATTCAAATGCCACAACCTTCTCACACAAAGTTCCATCCTGACATGTAAGACTAGGCAAATCTATGGCCAGTCCTCCCCATTCCTCACAGAAGATTGTGGCAGGAGCCTAAAACAAATCCAGATTTGGATTCAGAATGAAGAAACAAAAACCTAGCTGTTGGTAACCCTAGTAGGAGATGAGGAGTAGATGACCAACCTTGCTGGTAATAGAGTCGTCTCCAGAAGAGCTAGGGAGATCATCCCACGAAACCATGGTTGAACTTTGTGATGCTGAGTGGATCTGCTGAGTAGGAGATGAGGAAGAAGAGAAGAAGGGGAATGAGTGGTGATGGATCTGGTGGTGGAAGATATATACTTGTGGTTGGGGAGGAAGCAAAGGTGGATCTAGTGGTTGTGGACCAAAGGCAAACATACAATGCAAGTTGTAGGGTGCCAGTGTGCATGGTTGTGGACCAATCAGTTAACTGAATCTTTGTTCAGTTAAGTTCATTTATATATTTTGGCCATATCAATCTCATTTAACCGAATTCGTGTTCAGTTAAGTTCAGTTACATTTTGGCCATATCAATCAAGCTCATTTAACTGAATCCTTGTTCAGTTAAGTTGATTTACAATTTGGCCATATCAATCAAGCTCATTTAACTGAATATTTGGCTCAGAAAAGACCAAGTTCAGTTAACTGAATATTTGGCTCAGTGAGCTCAGAGAAGACAAAGTTAACTGAATATTGACAACAAATTGGAAGATTCAACATTGACACTGAAACATTGATATTACTTGATAGATACATATTCATTACAACCATACAGCCAAAATAACATCATATCCATTACAGCCATAGATACGTATTCAGCTCAGACACCTACTAATTTATCAACATCTCACTTCTTCATAATGAAGATGAAAGACATCACACAAAGAACCACAACACTAGCCATAAGAAGCTTTAGCACCTCTCTACCTAATCCAAGAAGCATAGCAACTTGCTGCTTGATAGCAAGGTTTTTCTCACTAGGGCTGTCAAAATTCACCCTGCCTGCAATGCCTCTTCCAGCCAAGGCCCTTCCAGCTAGGGATGGCAATGGGTCGGGTTTGGGGCGGGTGGAGCTGGTCCAAATCCAACCCATGACCCATCTTCCTACCCTCTGCCCATCCACCAAATTATCCACGAGCACAACTTGTACCCATGCCCAAACCCGCTGGATACCCACGTACCCATGGAGCCCCATGGGCATAGAAAAGTCAGCATGAAGCCTTCCCAAAGATCAAATTAACTCATCATCGTTCACTCACAAATGACAACATAAGCTACATGCATAAGTAGGCAACAAGTAATACGATGATTCCTTAAGTGTGACATACCAGAGGTTGATTCTGCATTATATAGCTCATGGCACAAGTTGCATATTTCCTGCCATTTCCCATTGATTCGCTCTTTCTACTATCACTGGCATATGGCCCCACATGTCATAAGGGTATCCATTGGATATCCATGGAGCACAAACTATAACCATGCCCAACCCGTCTATTCGTGGGTATCCATATCCACGGACCCATGGGCAGAAATGTGCTCCATACCCTTGCCCAACCGGGTTGGGTATCCATGGGTATCCAGGTCCATGGATAAAATTGCCATCCCTACTTCCAGCTAAGTTTCTTCCTGCCATCCACTCAGTCCTCTTCCTCTCAAGCTCTTCCCTCCTATCCTCAGCTGCACCAATTGCATCTACAGCAGCATTACCAACAAGAACTCTAGTTTCAACCAGATGCTGCACATATTCCATCTCCCAGCGCCAGAAATCACAGGTGACCTACAACCAAAGCAATGCAATGTGTGAAAATGACTGACAAAGTTCAGTTAACATGAAAAAATGTTCAGTTAAGGACTAAAATTCAGTTAACAACGGCTACTGAGCACATTCAAGACTTCTAAGCACATCATGGCTACTGAACGTTCAGTTAAGAGATCTCTTTAGTTAACTTCTAAGCACATCACAGCTAGTTAACCCAGCCATCATGCCTACTGAGCACAACATGGCTACTGAACATGGCAGGTTCATGAATCGAACAGAAAAAGCCTGAAGCTTACATTGTCGTGGGTGCACTTGTAGAAAACCCAGCCATCGTGCTCATCGGTGCTAGAGCGGTAGCACTTGACAGGTTCGCCACAATCGGGGCATCCGACGAGTGGCACCTCAACAGAGCGGCCACGCAGACCAGAGCGCACATCGGAGTGGGAGGATCTCGCAGATGATATGCCGTCGGCGAGAGGTGGCAGCAGATCCAAGCGGTGGTGGCTGCGGCGACGGCGGCGGAGCCGGCGACTGCGACTAGGGTTCGAGACGGGAGAGGAAAGGGGAGAGGTGCGCTGCGGTGCGGTGGGTGTGGAGAGGTTGGGTTCGACCATGTGGTGTCGTGTGGACGATCCGACCAGGTGGGTGGGTGAGATGCGACTAGGTGAGCCGCGGTCCGACCAGGCGGGGGGACAAACGTAAATTCATCATTTTTGCAATAAACCCCCTCGTATTCTTCCGCCCAGGCGTCTTCTGATGAGCTGGCGGTCAAAGCCCGCATGGACTCGCCAGTCAACAGCCAAGTCAGCAGATACGTACAGGAAATGATATTTTGGACCGTAGATGACAACCTGAGACAAGTTGTAGGACTGTATTTTGGGTATTTGCAAGTACGGGAAGAAATGCGGCCAACGCGACAAGTATAAGGACATGTAGTGAATTTTTCTCTATTTTATACTTCATCCGTCTGGAAATACTTGTCATCAAAATAAATAAAAGGGGATGTATCTAGATGTATTTTAGTTTTATATACATTCTTTTTTGTCCATTTTAATGACAAGTATTTTCAGACAGAGGGAGTATCTATGAGCTTCTTGCTGGGGCCTCCGTCGCCGCTCAAACAGTCAAGCATTCATGTGCTAGCAGTTTGCATCGATGTGCTTCAGTTCAGTGCTACAACTACCCAAGTTTGGCTCCATTATTTTACAAGTACTGTAGTAGCTGAGACTTGCTTCTTCTTTGGCATCGACGTCCCAACCACGAGCTTCAAATCCGTGCTAATGCTACAAAAGCTGACGCCGCCATTGCAGCAGCACTCCAAAGCAGCACCAAGAAAATGGCCTCTACAGAGCAAGAGCACGGCGAGAAGCTGAGGATCCTGATCGTGCCCTTCTTCGCCACCAGCCACATCGGCCCCCACACCGACCTCGCCGTCCGCCTCGCCGCAGCCAGGCCGGGCACCGTCGAGCCTACGGTGGCGGTCACCCGGCTAACGTCTCGGTCGTTCGGTCGGCGCTCGACCGGCACGGCCCCTCCATGGCGAGCCGAGCCGTCCGGATAGCCACCTACATGTCCCCGGAGGTGGGCGGCCTCCCGCCGGGCGTCGAGAACCTCTCCGCCGCCGGGCCCGACGCGTGGCTCATCGATGCCGCGGCCATCGACGAGGCGCTGACGCGGCCCGCGCAGGAGGCGCTCGTCAGGGAGCTGTCCCCTGACGCCGTCTTCACCGACGTCCACTTCTTCTGGAACTCCATACTCGCCGGCGAGCTCGGCGTGCCGTGCATTACGTTCAGTGTCATTGGACCCTTCTCGAACCTTGTGATGCACCACCTCGGCGGCACAGTTACAGTCGACGGCGACTCGGATTGCCAGGAGGTGATTGTACCAGGTTTTCAGGCCCTGAGATACGTATCCCGAGGGCTGAGCTGCCGGAGATCTTGAGGTACCAGGAGAAAGACGACGGATCCAGCAGCCCGATCATGGCGGGGCAAGCACGGTGCTTCGGCGTAGTCGTCAACACGTTCATGGACCTGGAGAGCGAGTACTGCGAGCTGTACGCGCGCCTCGGCCACGTGAAGCGCGCCTACTTCGTCGGCCCAGTGTCGCTGCCGTTGCCACCGGCCGGAGCAAGCGCCGCTGAGTCGCCGTGCATCCGTTGGCTAGGCTCGATGCCCAGATGCTCGGTGGTGTACTTATGCTTCGGCACCTACGCCTCCATCTCTGGAGATCAGCTATGGGAGCTGGCTCTTGGACTGGAATCCTCCGGCAAGCCGTTCCTGTGGGTGCTGAGGGCCGAGGGGTGGGAGCCGCCGGCGGGGTGGGAGGAGCATGTCGGGAAGAGGGGGATGCTCGTCAGAGGGTGGGCCCCGCAGACCGCAATCCTGGCTCATCCGGCCGTGGGGGCGTTCCTGACGCACTGCGGGTCGAGCTCTCTGCTGGAGGCGGCGGCGGCCGGCGTGCCGATGCTGACGTGGCCGCTGGTGTTCGACCAGTTCATCGAGGAAAGGCTGGTCACAGACGTTCTCAAGATTGGCGAGAGGGTGTGGGACGGGCCACGGAGCACGAGGTACGAGCAGCAGCAGACGGTGCCGGCCGCGGCGGTGGCGCGGGCCGTGGCGAGGTTCTTGGAGCCCGGGGGAACAGGGGAGGCGGCGAGGGGTCGAGCGCAGGAGTTCGCCGTGAAGGCTCACGCCGCCGTGGCGGAAGGCGGGTCGTCGTCCTGTGATCTGCGCAGGCTTATCGACGACCTGATGAAAATAAGGGAGGCCGTCGCCGGCGGCGACACTACTACGTCGCGCGCTGCTGAGATGTAGCGTCATGTGGCATTTCCCTGTGCTTCAATCCGTTTGTAAACCTTGTAACACCGGCCGCTTATGTCTTACTCCCTCCGACCCATAATGTGACATTACATTAATGTTAAAAAACGTCTTACATTATACATTATGAGACGGAGGGAGTACTATGTATTTTCCTTTGCCTACTAACTAGTGTCTGTCACCTGCTGGTACTGCATTTCCTGCCGTCTGCATCTGCATTTACATTTGGGGCGGTCTATGCGCATCATCTCGTTTTACGCCTGGGGCTCTGTCTGCACCGATGTACAGCTGGTCTTGAAACATCACCATCTCCCTTGCGATTCGAAATGCAAAAGCAGAATTTGTATATCTGTAGGAAACATAGTTGCAGGTTGTTAAAGCAGCCTCGATGGTCAAATCCGGACCCACAAATGCCGGCGAACGCGTCTGCTGGCACAGACCGGTCAAACCTCAAATAATGCAATCTACATCTGAATACCTCAAATCCATATTATTACATGCAACGTAGCGATCTTTAAGCTGAGTTTGTCTTGTCGCCGTGGCCATGTCCGGCGGCCAGCTGTGCTTCTCAGAGTGCTGGTCCGGACGTCGACAAGGTAGAGTAGGGTATGGGACACAAGTCGGCTTATGGGACTCAAGGCGCCGTTGTTTCCCATGCCCTACACTTCCTCGTCGCAGCCCGAAACTCGTTGAGTGCCGGTGGACGTCAGGGCGATGATGGATCCGAACTAGGACGAGCCGGCGGCATCCACAACGACACAGTTGCGGCGTCCGGGTGCACCATACGGGGCACCAGAGAATGTGACTTCGCCTCACCGACGTCCACCGCCACGAGCGATGCCGCCGCCTCCCGCGCCCGCTGTTGCGCACGGCGGGCACGTCGCACCATGTTTGCATCCGACCACACCCACGGTGCGTCCATGGCCTTGGCGCGCCACGGAAGGGTCGCGCGTCCGCCATCTCGTTCGGATGCCAGACGGACTGCACCGCCTCCGGTAAGGCAGCGACGGTTGCCCTAGCATCGGATTCATGCGCCATTTGGGCAGGCGCAATGGATTTACGACAGAAGGAGTCCAAGCGCTGTCGTGCATGGGCGTCCTCCTGGGAGCGGTGGTGCGCAAGCCGAACAGCCATCTCCTCGTCGGGGCCGTGAGGGATGAGCTCAGTGTCCATGGATCAAGAGGTGAAGGACTCAGATCCGCTGTCCGCCATGCCGGAGACAGCCGGGCGTCACCGGAGACGATCTTGGGCCAGCGTGAGACAGATCCGACGTGGCGGGCGTGCCCAGATGCCCCCATATCCACCCATATCTAGGCTGGATATGAGGGGTGGCGATCAGACGGGCATTTGAGGTACGTTTGAGGCTCCCGGATGGGTCAAAATTTCATGACCGATCAATGACGGGGCGGCCCGCTCGGACATTTGAGAAAGATTTGGGGTGCCCGACTGTAGATGCTCTTACGTCAAAAACTGACTTTTGATCAGAATCCTCCAAAGACGGCAAGCCAAATGTTCTCATCAGAGCAACTTCAATGCGTCGACCCAAACGGACGCATGTTTTGTCCATTTTTTGTGCATTTGGGTCGGCTGCCTGCTCGTCACCTGCCCCCTTCTGTGTTTAGGTCGGCCGTGCGCCCAACTCGCGGACACTTTTTCGTCCTCACGGTTGGCCTTTTCCGCAAACATATGGAAATTTGACGACAGTTCACATAATTCAATCAAAATACAAATATCTTATAGTTTCACAACCAAATAAATATCTTATAGTTTACAAGCCAAATAAAAATTAAATTGTCTTAAATACATTAAAAAAGATAGTTGATATATCTGTTGGTTGCCACGTGAGCCCACATATACTTAATCAAATCATCTTGCAGCTGAATGTGAGTTTTCCAATTACGCATTTGATGATCGCACGTAGGCCACTCACGGAGTCGGATGCCTTCAACGGACCTTCACGGAGTGGCCTACGTGCCATCTCCTAATTTGCCCCCTATTTTCACTATGGGCCCCGCCATGTAGAAGTGCATGATCTAGCCAATGCAACCAAAAAATCGATCTGGTGGAAGAGACTAGGCAGCACATTATACGTCAACACTCCCCCTCACGTGTGGCTCCCTCAGGCCTAAACATAGACCCAAAGTGGGCTGCAATTTAATTGCGCTAGCTGGGTCTTAACTCAAGACCTCTTGGCTCTGATACCATGTAAAAGTGCATGCTCTAGCCAATGCAACCAAAAGACCGATCTGATGGAAGAGACTAGGCAGCACATTATACGTCAACACGCCAACCTTAATTAAATCCTGGCCACTAATACTTAATCAACCCTGTAAACTCCCCGTGAACCCCCCGTGAGTGTAGCATTGCCCTTTCTTTGTCACAACTTTACACGAACATGTTGTTTTTAGTCATTTCCTAGAAAGGCCAAAATAGCTTGCAAAGGGTACAAGTTTCAGCTAACAAATATGTATAGCATACATGATCTACAGCTCTACTGCTCTGCCACAATGTCATTCCATCTCGCCGGAGAACGACCGAGTAGGCACAAGCCACGCATGTCTGCAGTATAGCTTATGTCGCTGATGTTCAAGGGAGCGACGGCGTGGCCGTGATGCTACCGGCGGCCGCTCTTGCTTCCACAAGGTCATCAATGAGACGGCGCATGTCACAGTACGACGAGCCTCCTTCCGCCACGGCCGCGTGAGCCTTGGCCGCGAGCTCTGTAACAACCTGGGCTGTGCCCACGAGGTGTGTGTGAGTGGCCTGCTGGGCCGGCCCATTGTGGCCTGTAATGATATCTACTTATAGGCTAGTGTGAGGAGAGGAGGACATCGATCTGTAAAACTGAATATCGTTATTCCTAATCCCAAGCCTTCCTCTGTGCTTCTTCTTCCTCTCCAAGCTATTTCCTTCTGTCTCCACCTACCACATCCTGGCGTGATGCAAGGAGTTGCTGCGATCCCGTAGCATCTGGTACTCAGAGCCAAAATCGATCCGCGTCCTCTGATCCACGAAATTTTTTGCGATCTTCAAATCAATCCATCGATCAGCTCCTAATTCCAGGCAAAAGGTGCGGATCCCCTCGGGTGATTCTGCGAGAAACACTCCGGTGTACCTGCGTCGGGTCGAGCAGATCGATCGGCCGCAACGGCGCGCTTCAACGAACCGACCCTCTCTGCGCGGATGGCGACGGCGGAGCTCTCCCTGGCGGACCTGCAGAAATTGGTGCAGGTCACGATCCAGCAGAGCAAGGCGGTCTCAGATGCAGGGACGGCCACATCGGAGAGGGTGACCGAGCTCCAGGACTCGCTCGACAAGTACGCATCCTCGTCTGCCAAGGCGTTCCATGCGCTTGCGCAGACGACCACGGCCGCGCTGGGCCGTACAGAGGCCACCCTCGGCCGCGTCCTCATCGCCAACAATTCACTTGACGCGGCGATGGCGGAGATGAAGCGCGCCCTGGATGGAGTGGTACATCGAGTGGACCAGTTGGAAAGAGCTCCAGCAACGGGCCCTGCACCACCACCACCGCCGCCGGCGGCACCACAATGCTTCGGGCCACTGCGCACGGAGGGACAGAGCAGCATGCAAGCGCCATAGGCGACGGATCTGCGGGGGCCTCGTCAGAATCGTCCCCAACCACACGGTGGTGAGCTATCTCAGACCCGACCCGCTGCCAGCGAGTATTTCTCGGATGATCAGGAAGATCCAGATCGCTCCATGGAGTACGGGCACCGATCGCATCCCAATAGATACAGACCACGCATTCCTCGGTCTGAATTTCCTAAGTTTGATGGGGAGGATCCTAAATGGTGGAAACAGCAGTGTGAAAAGTACTTCCGGATGTACAATGTGCAGTAGGAATTATGGGTTGATTTTGCAACAATGCATTTTGCAGGCAACGCAGCGCGCTGGCTTCAGACTTACGAAGCCATGCACACAGTCGACAGTTGGGCAGCCTTGTGTGTTGCAGTGTTCGCCAAATTCAACAGAAACAAATACACCAGAGACATTGATATATTCTTTGCACTGAAACAGACTGACACAGTGGATGAGTATGCCCACCTCTTCGAAGAGCACATGCACAAGATCCTGGTCTATAATCAATCTTATGATGAGACGTTCTTCATCAACCGTTTTGTTCAAGGTCTCAAACCAGGAATAAGAGCACCTGTGAAGCTGCAGCAGCCAAGCACAGTGGATTTGGCTTACTCTCTGGCACAAACACAAGAAGCACTCCTGGTCGAAGACACATCTAAATTCAGCAAGAAGTGGGAGCCACGGTTCAGTTCCAAACCATATGTGCATCGGGGTATAATGGGCGCCTCACCAGCTGACAAATGATCAGACGAGCAAGCTAAGGTGCCGGACAAAGTTGACACGCTCAGAGCTCAGCGTAGGGCAAGAGGAGAATATTTTAAGTGTGGGAAAAAATATGGCCCAAGACACAAATGCCCCAGCAAGGTGCAATTACATGTGATGGAAGAATTATGGGATGCATTGCAGGTGTCTGAATCAGCCTCTAGTGAGTCTGACAGCGAATAAATGGTCTCTCCACCTGCAGATAAGGACAGTGACGATTGTATGAAACTGTCAGTGCAAGCAGCCACAGACACATCTTCTAAAGAGAGTATTAAGCTGCAAGGCATGGTGGGAAAACGTCAACTCTTAATACTGGTAGATTCAGGCAGTTCTACCAACTTCATTAGAGCTGATTTGGCAAAAGAACTCAAGTGCACAACTGAAGAAATCCCTGCAGCAACTGTAACTGTGGCAAATGGAGGCACTCTGCTCTGTAATACTCAAGTGCCAAACCTATAGTGGTTTTGTCAAGGAAACACCTTCAATACTCAGTTCAAAGTGCTTCCCTTAGGCACTTATGATATCATATTAGGAATGCAGTGGCTGGAAACAATGAGTCCTATGTGGGTTGACTGGAGAAAGAAGGTCATGAGGTTTAAGTACCAAGGAGCAAGAATCACACTCAGAGGAGTTAA